GATGGTGGGGAGCATTAATTTATGGTTGAACGATCTTGCAAATGTCACACTAAGATCATCGCCAACCGTTCGGCAAACAGCCGAATGGAGGCCCTCAAACGTCGCAACCAAACGCCTTTTCCTCCGCCATTTGATCGGGCCACTGTTCATCTACGCCATTTTTTGGTCTCTACCGAACTTGCGGAAGAAAGACGCGAAAGAAGAGAGCAACGGTTAGGAGGCAAAATGACGTTCGATTGAAGATGAATCACGGCACTTTTTGGTTTCATTGCATTTTTTAGTGAAAAATGAGATTTTCGGTTGGAGATACCCTAAAAGAGAAACCACTCTTAAATGTGAGTTGATTTAAAGTGACCTTAATAGCCATTCATATACGTAGATATAAAACAAAGATAGACTTTGTATACTGTGCATTCACCGATTAATCATAAGAGATGGGATAAATAATAAGATAATAAACTTCAATCAAAGCTATGACCAGCCCGGCATCTTTTGCTTAGCAAGCAAGGCTAAGGATGATCATGACACTCGGGTGTAAGACATGGTTACTTGATTTTGGCAAACTAAAGTCATTAGCAAGTAGAAACCATAGAGTTAAATTCGTCGTTTAGATATTATTGACGGGTGTAAAATATTGAGTTGAAGTTTTCACCATGGTGGAGAATGACTTGGCTATTCCACTGTTTAGTCATGATACGAGCAAGAAGAGATCCGGAGATAATATAATTAGGAGAGAGAGCAGTGAAAAGAGATGTAGATTTTTATACAACACGAGAGGATCTGAATTTGAGTCCAATGTGGGTGTACTGGAGTATGCCCGATGTGGTAAGATACATAGTGGATTGTGTTTTCTGATGATTGGACATTGTTTTAGATGTAGGCAACAAGGATATCATATGGCTGATTGTCTACTACACGATAGGGGACAAGATATGGATTCATAGGAGAGTAAGCCGTACAAATCTATAGACAGAGGATCATGGGATCTAGAGAATACAATGAAAGGTCTGTGAGCAGAACATATGGAAGAAGGGTAGTCAGAAATCAAAGAGAACATACACTGTCTGCTATACCAACACTGTCACCTATACGACCTAGAGTTTACAGTTTGATCCAACAAGAGGATAAGAATGCACTTGGAAGATCCACTAATAAAAATTTTAATTCTTGAATTGATTGATTAATAATTTGCATAGTATATTGTGCTTGAATGATATGTGGGACTATGATTATTTCGAATAAACTCATAATTGATTGCATGCATTATTTTAGATATTTTAAACATATTTCAATAGATTTATTGGAATTGATATTTGCTCTGAATTGTATTGGTTTATTTTTATGGATTTACGAATTGAATTTATCTTCATTGATTTATTTTTTCTGTGGAAACTTCAAGAGCAATATTTTTCTAAGGTAAGGAGAATTTAATAGCCTATATGTTGAATCAAACAAATAAATTTCCTAGGAGTCATTATAAGTAAAATTTGAAAACTGTCTTCATCATAACATTGATATTGGAGTGCTTTACTTATACTAATTTTTGTATAATTTTTTTGGCACATGTGAAAATCTTTAAGAAATTGATACATGTCAATACAAGTGGAGATTTTGGGACTATCAGGTGTCCATTTTGCAAACCAATTTCACCAATGTTTTTTAAATAAATTATTTATTTTATGAATATTTTTAATAATTTTTTGGGCTCAAAATGGATTTATATAAATTTTGTACTAAAAATTAATTAAATTAAATAATTATACTAATATTAAATTGTTATTTTATTATCAAATATTATGTAACAAAGGTAATTATTATTTATATTTATTAATTATATAGTCAAATATTAATTATTTTTATCGAGCTTATTCACGAGTTCAAAATCAAACATGAATCGAGCTTTTATCGAGCTTAATGTCGAGCTTGTTCGTGAACTTCAAATGATGTTGTTCACGAACATAAATGAGCCGAACACATTAGTGTTCAAGTTTGTTTATTTAAGAATCTAGTATTTAAAATATTGTTCAAGTTTATTTGTTTAGTTAATTAAATGATCGCAAACGAGCTTTAATCGAACCGAACAACGAGTAGCTCGCCGGACATTTGGTTCGCTTGCAGCCCTAATTTTAACTAAAACATATTGAATTTTTACCAGTTAAATTGAAAAATAGAATTTTTTTAAACAAAATGCATAGTATACAAATTTGATAGATTTCCATGTATTTATACATTTCTACATTTCGTGCATGATATTAACTTATATTGCATAAAAAATATATTATTTGTATGTACGTAAGCAATACTAACATTTAACACTGTAATGAATATGGTTTAGCTCTTAAATATAATACCCTAGGTAGGAGTGTGGGGCGACAAACTTTCCTTTAAATAAAAGGTTGGTGATATAATCCTAGTTGTAACGTGTAACTAATTGACTAAATTACGCCGACGAATAGAATGTGACTTAAATAATTATTAAAAGACACCTATAAAAATTAATGGATTGAGAGCTATGACAGATAATATATGTACAAAAAAATATCACATTAAAATTGAATGTCATACATTATTTTGCATAATTATACTCATGATAATATTTACCTGACTAATATTACATTAAACTAATTGACATGTTGATAGCTTATATTAGTATTAATATTGATACAATATAGTATAGCATATTGATATAATTTATTGGGTGATTGTACTCTTTATCGTATGTATTATAATTTAATATATTTCTTTTTACTTTATTGATCATATTGATATTATTATTGATTTTTAAGATTTTTGTTACTCTATGATTGACATTGACTAGAACATAAGCATATATATTAATTTTTTTTGTCTTGTATTTAAAGCAGTGATAGAGTTTTGGTTTTCTACTGAGCTTTTTAACTCATTATATGGATTTTTATGATTTCAGGTCAATGAAGGGGTCAAGATCAGTTGGAGTGAGATTGTTAGAGATTCTCATATTTTCTTTTGATTTTGTTTAATTTTTTTACCTTTTGCAACCAGGAGATTATGATAGATTAGTATTTGTACTAATATCTTGACTATTATATGTTGATTTTAAGAATATAATGAAATATTTTGAGGTATATGACTGTATATTGATATATTATTTGTGATGATGTATAGAAGCAAGTGTTAATTAATTATGAAGATAAAATAAATATTTTTTTTTCAAATTTAATTCTTGGACGTGATATGACCTACTTGAGATTATTTGTCATAGCGTTGATTACTAATATTAACATTTATAGAAGAGGTCAAGTTCAATTCCACTGGGATTAATTATATTTTGATTGAGAGGGGATGATTGTCATGTGTATCCTAAATCAAATGTGAAATTGTTTTATCTTTATATTGTTATTGTCCCTTTCAAGATTAAGAGTATGAACTAGCCCAAAGAGTAAAAGTTTAACAGGAGATTGTGTATAGAACTTGAATTTCTCTTGAGACTTTCTAAATGAAAATTTTATATTTGCTAATATTTTTTAGACAGATGGTTATCAATAAAGTTGTCTTGGGTGCTTATAAAAATATTGAAAGAATATATGTGCTTAACTACAACCATGCATATGATATTAGCATATGAATATCCCTTTAATGTTGCAGCCAAGGTTGCCACCAGTCATGATCTACTTTTCATGAATTCATTGCAATAATAGATGATATAAGGGAGGAGTTTTCTAGCTACAATCATACATAGAAAGTTGTCCATACTATGTTATAATTAAAGCTGCCACCCCCCCCAACGCAAAACCAAAATTGACTTGCTTCTCTCATAATTGATAAAATGGTAAACGATAAAGGATTACCCAGCTACATTGATGTAAACAACCTTTGATATTGTAGCAAGGGTTGCCTCAAATTAAGAAGAATCATAATTGAGCGATGCTGGTTAGAGAATTATAGTTGGGCGATAGTAGTCAAGGGATTATAATCAAACTATGATGGTCAAGTATTGTGGTTAAGGGATGTAGATTGAAGGATCATAATCAAACAATCAAGGTTATATGACCATAGTCAAACAATTGTGGTCAAAGAACAAAAATCAATAGTGGTGATTGGAGTGTCCTAATAGGGAAACAATGGTTAAAGAACATTTGTTGATCTGATTGGAACAATTAGAAGATTATTTAATGACGGATGACGTGCAATGATCCTAAGACAATGGTGCTCGAGTGGAGCTTTAAGATTTTTCAAGTCTTTAGCTATCCTGAGTCTCAAGCTAAGTTCTAAGCCCCAAGCTGCCCTTCATGTAGAGAGTGTGACCATATTAATTAATTTTTTTAGAGCGACGTGACATATAAATATAGCCAAAATTTGAAACATTCCATCAAATAGCCATATTAATTATCTCAAATAGAGGCAATTATTTTAGAATTTAGGTGTCTTAATTACGTTAGATTTATCTTATTGAGATATGAGATTTGAATAAGTATACGATATTTAGATATCGTTTGATCCTCCAACTAATGCTCTAATTTTTTTTACTATGCTTCAAGTGCTTCATTTAGACTTATTTAGAGTCGGATTGGATCACTTTTGATGTCAATCGGTTCATCTCATCTAAACTTTTAGTTTTAAGTTCTTCTAAAAGTTTTTAATTCAATTATGCATCAAAATCCGTGCCCGATCACGCCAATTTTTTATGTAATATCAAATTTTATTTAAGATTACTACAATATGATATATTATTACTTAGCTATATAATATACTCATCTTAAAATAAATTTAATTACCATAAAATTCATTCAGATCAAAATTAGGCCAATATATTACTATCATCAACTTTAAGAAAAGTTATATATATAAGTCAATTTAATTTAGTCTTCAAAAGCTTTGAAAATAATTTATAATAATTATATGTACATCAAATTTTTTTCTTCATTTAACATTTCAAAATAAATAATAAACTCAGATTAAAAAAAAAGATTCTTTCCGGCTAGAACATTTTAATGAATAAATCTCCTCCTGAGCAGATATTTTAATTCTCTGTCTTAAAAAAAATCTCAGAAAGGCGAGAAGGCCAACAACCCTCATCTCCTAAATCTGAATGGCGCTGCGATTTTGTTTCTTCTCTTTGCTGCCGTTCTTTACTCTTGACCATCTCCAGGTGGCGTCGGCAGCGCCGCCCTCACAGGCCTTCCCCTCTGGGCTCGAAATTCTTCAGAATCGAACCGGTTACAAATTCAAGTCAGTGGATCTGCTGCGTCAGGCGATGACCCACCCCTCTTACTCCCTCGATAATAACCATGCCCTTAGCTTGCTCGGCCTCAACGCCATGGAAGCCGCTGCCGCGCTCAACCTCGTCGGTGTAGACCCAAATGCCTCCCCGGCAGCTGTCAATGCCAGGATCGCGAAAATTTCCGGCTTCAACGACTGCGTGTCCAATGGTAAGCGGCTTGCGATTGAGAGTCTGGTGCGCGTAGCCAAGAAGACCAGTGCCTCGTCGCCGAATGTCATCTGCAGTGCATACAGGGCGATATACGGCGCAATTGCTGTCGATGCCGGTGGACTGGATGCTGCTTCTAAGGCTCTGTGGAGGATTCTGGATGGTGGAGTCTATGCATCCTAGGTCGACGGTCCCCGCCCACTATTACCGCTAACGGTATCTAAGTAGAACTTTCCTGTGTTTACTTGGAGGTTTTTAGTTAGGTGTATTTTGGATTTTTAAGGTTACAAAAATATCAGTGTAATATATTATATATTATGTATTTTGTGGTACTATTATATGACAATAGTCGAATGTTATTTTAATTTTAAATAACCCCTAAGGTATTTAAGTTGCGTTTGGATTAGTGATCTTGAAGATCGGTTGATCTTGGAGAAGAAACCAGGATTAGGGCAATCCAAATGTCGCTTACCTAAGACTTTTTGCTTCGTACAAAGAGGAATGAAGCTAATTCTAATGCCTTCACAATACTTTAACCTAATCCAGTAGGAGATTGTATTCTGAACAACGCATATACAGATTAGCCTATGGTTATTTAAACAGCAAGCATGCATTTTTGTGCTATTTGACTTTTAATTCATTCCTAATCCCACATTATTCTCAAAGTAAACGGTCCAGTTTCTTGAGCTTCAGGAAAACTGTTGTAAAGAATATCTCCGCCATTGATTGCCTAATCCCTACTGATGAAGTATCATCTGATTTCTTTCAGTTGTATTGTAAGGAGCTTAGAGAATATCTGTACCCTGGCGGAAGGTTTGGGTCTACAGGTTTCTTTGTTGCACTGGAATACTTATTTAGTCTCAATTATTTGCATTGGGTGAATTGTTGTATGATGAACAATGACTGAAGTGATAATTTGAACAGATGATCTAATTCAACAAACTTTGCTACCTTGCCCTCTAAGAATTCATGGAAGGATTTGCGCTAGCTACTCTCAACAATGACTGTAGTGAAAACCAATAAGATGAGACATGGTTTAATCTTTTCCTTAGTCCATGAATATATAATATCTATAACTGCTCTAACAAAGCTAAATATTTCTTATTCTGATGCTGACATTTTCAGGGAGAATCTATTATGATTCTAGAGGATATTAGACATAGAAAACTGTAGCAATCTCTTATTAACTCAGAAGGAAAGTATCAATGTATTGCTACTCCACATGTAGTTTGCAGATTGGGTGGAATTAGGGGATATATTTGCCAGAAAGTACAAATAGCTTGAACAACAAACATTGGATTATATGTGTGTTATATTTAGAACTTTTGGTGGTTGCCCGATGACCATTCTAACTAGATAACCTTTATGTTTGTCATAGATTTGTATTGTTTGAATTTGTTTTGCTTCTGTTCATATCTTTAGAGGTGTTTGAGCATCTTTGACCAGTTTTTCTTCATCTAATTTTCATTCATGATAGTGGATTTCGGAAGCGGCTCAATGCAACTTAGTTCAACAAAATTTATGCCATTTGTACAACCTGTAGTATTTCAATATGGTTGCTTATTTTCTTTTGGGAAGTTTTGTTGTTTGCCTCAATGTTAATTATTAATAGGATATCAACACTCTTTATCTGTTTCGTTCGTACGAGAAATGACTGTGTTAATTGTCTGTTACTAATTTACTATAGTTTATTTAATTTCCCAGTATTATGAACCTCATCCTACTCATAACCAACTAATGCTCTCTTCATGATTTTTGCCTTCGTATGGTGGAATATTGTCTTTTTCCCTCGATTCAATGCTGACTGTTCAGCTTCCAGATCTCCATTGGCAGGCAAAATGAGCTCATTTTTTGTGTTTGTTAAATTTTTTGTGTGCATTTTAATATTTTCTTTACGTTAAAGATGGCTGGCATGAAAGTATGAAACTTGATATGATTGTGAACTTTTACAATTCTGATATATGAGTTGATTACGCTACTTATTACTACATAGTGCACTTTAGAACCTCTTTTTTTTTTTTTGCAATATATGTTCAAAGATCGTGCCATGCTCTCTTTGGAAGACAACTAAGTTTTGTTTGTTTGTCCATCCAATGGTTTGCTACATCGTCCTATTTATTGCTTTGCCTGTGCTGTAACATCTCAATTTAGGCCTTCTCTGTCAATTATTCCATTTTAATGATGGGATTTTTAGCAAAATGAAACCAACAAGTTACCATGACAACTATTCTGAATTTAGGCAACATTATTGTCTTCCTGTTGTTCATGAACATTGAAGAATCATATTGGATGCATCTAGAATGCAGGTTGATATTTTTTGCTTGTTCTGATATAATCCTATTAAATGCTAAATGCTAGCTTTTTTATGTTTTAATCAAATTCTAGATTGCACTTCAGACCCAGACTTCATCATTTTATCTGGTATTTCTTTTCATAACATAGCATGCAAGATTAAATGTGGTTGCACAATAAAGGTTTTATTTTTCGGTAGTACAATAAAGGTTGGGCTGGCTTAATGGCAGTACAACCTAAAGCCATATTACCCATCGATGCTTAGCTTGGTCGGTGGGCATGCTCGGTTGGGAATCCCTCATCCCGAATTAGATTCCCTCGAGCGTCAGTCACCCCTTAAGTGGGGGCCCCAAAGTGTTGGCTGCGGGTACAGTGGTGTGGGTGGCCCGGTAGGTTAGCCGGGGTTTACGGACTGCCTAGCGCGCTCGGCGAAGCCAAGTGTGGCAGCAGACGGTTCCTCGTCACCAAAAAAAATTCCAGATATTAACCCATATAAGTGCGCAAATCAACAGACTTGTCTTCTCCCACGTGTTCACCCCCACCTTGCGTGTGTTGGTGTCAGGTGTGAAAGGTAGGAGATAGTACAAGTTAAAGGAGTAGAACAGGAAGGAGTTCGAAAAAGATAGCATTGAGGAGAGGATGACAGGTAGTGCATTCTTTTTCCATTTCATCCGGAAGGATCTTATTGCAATAATATTTTAGATTGCCATATTGGATAGGAAGATAAAATCATTAGGAGTTCACCATTAAAAATGGATTGCAATTGAAAGGCTAATGATTGAGATCAAGAGAAAGTAATTTAAACTGTTGGATGCAAATAAGCTCAACAATATAAATTTGTTTCTAAGAGTTAGAGATAAAGGTCATTCTGTATTTAATAGAGTTAGTTTAGGAGAAGATAAGATCAAATTTAATGTATTTCCTTCTACTTTTTTATTATAAATTTTCTGTCTCTTGCAATAGAAAGTAACTCTAGCTCTCCCAAAAGATTTCCATAGTGCAGGTTTCCTAGAACAAGAAAATTCAATCAATCCTCTTACTTTGGTCTCATCATATTGCTGGGGATTACCACTTACATAAAAAAAAATTCCTATTGATTCTAAAATTCTGTATTCATAAAATATGTGGCTAGGCTTCATGAAAGCTTTCACATAAAATTGAGGCTTTTTCTACTTTTTGGTGTATTTAAAGCTAGTACAAAAGCTATAGCACTGGAGGAAAGAAATAAACATATATTTGTTGGGCAATAGAAAGAGCAAGATCATAAGCCACTATATCGCTACAAGGGCACAAACTGAATGATTGCTAGAATCTATGGTCAAACAACTACCTTATAAATTTCATTAAATGAAAATTTTGTAGTTATAAAATTTGTAGCTGGGTTTCGTGAAAACTTTCAAGTATAATTAAAGTTCCTTCCAGTTGGTAGTCTTTGAACTATCATAAAAACTTTAGCACTTGAAGAAAGAAATAAGTCTTTATTGAAAAATTATTTTGTCCGGACAGCGTACTGGGGTACCGAGTGGTATCGTGGTCGGTACTGAGCACGGTACCGAGCGCCCAGTGATGTGGCGCTTTTTTACTGATCTCTGGACACGTTCGGTGTCCGGATGCGATAATCTCTCCTATTTATTAGGCAACAACAAAGCAACACATTATGATGCCGTATCACTATAACAAAAGTCAGGGCACAAGCTTAAGGTCCTAAGGATTACTAGAATCTATATTTAGAAGAGGCTAAAATGGGGAGAAAAAGAAGAAAAAGGCTCTCACTTCTATTTATAAGTGAACAAGGTAAATCAAGCATTATTTTTGATGTCGCATGCCAATACTAGTGAGGAAGTTTTGTAAGAATTATTCCACCTTAAGCTTCAGGTGAAATTTACCATGGTTGATGCCACTTTACTATAGTTAGTGAAAAAACCCTTATCTCTATAGCTGTGGTTGTTAGATTGTGCTTGGTTAATCATTGTTTGACATTCAAGCTCTATTCTATGAGTTAGCTTTAAAAGAGTGAAGTTTGTTAAGCTGCTCAATAATATTCTCTTAAGTTTGCTTTCTGATACGCCTTGGAGACAAAAACGGCAAACACACAATGGAAAAACTGGAGGAATATGAATATAGATGATTGATTTTTTATAACTTCAATAAAAAAGAAAGATACATGTGATATACAAATCGAGAGGTAGATCGACTCTCTCAAACAACCTAGACGTCGTTAGGAAGCCCTCACGAAAAGAAAATTACAGCAACTCTCAAATAAAATCCGACCTCCAAAATATAACATAAATCCTCTACTTATGATAAACAATAAACAACAAATAACAACATAGCCCTACCCCAATTCCCTCCCAAATCAGCCCCCAAACCTGTCATCTTCAATTAGGAAACATCTCCCTAATTAATCTCCTCCAAATCAGCCACAAATCTGCCCTTTTAAATAAGGAAATCTCGTAATTAATCATCTCCAAATTAGCTCTCTTTAATCAGTTCTCTTTAATTAGAAAATATCTCATAATTAATCTCCTCCAAATCAGCCTTCTTTCCTTATAATTTTTCCTCTCCTATTTGAAGTCAAATATGAAATATTTTCCTCCTTAATTCCCTTCTTTAATTCCCCTCCTAACATAATGAATTATTGCATTTTTGGACCCTACAAAGGTGGCCAAAATCTCTCTGGATTTGGTTCTAGGTTCTGCTCCCTCGACTACCTACTGGGTCGGCCGGTCCAGCCTTCCTTAGCCTGCAGCCATAACACTTTCTTTGGAGCTTTTATTAATGAACCAGTCTATGAAGTTGTACCATATAATGTATGCCATATAACTTTGGCCAGTTCATATTTATGGGATATGAATGTTAATTTCTATAGAATATGGAAACAAATTCAGCAAAAAATTGTGCTTGTAAAACAAGAAAAATAGATATAGCTGGTTGGCGTATTGTTCCACTTTCATAGGAGATGAGGAAGAAAAATATGCGAAAAGGTTTTTGACAGAGGACCAAGAGCTTTTTTTTTATACAAAGAGCATACAAAAAGTCGTCTTTATTGTTGGTCCACAATGGCGCAAATTGGTATAATGCAACAAGTTATTACTAATGTACCA